GGGCTAGCAACTCCAGAAGTCACTGCACCCTCCCAAATGGACACTAAATGGATTTTATTATTATTATTGTTGTTGTTGTTGTTGTTGTTAAATAACAATTTTCATGATGAAACTACCCTTGAATGGTGAGTTAGAGGAAAAATGTTCTTTGCAGTTTTTAATTATCTTGTTTTTTTTTGTATTTTAAATATTTTTTTTATAATTTTCAATGTTTTTATAATATTTTTTTTACATTTTTCTATTTTCTAAAATCTATAATTTTTGGTGTTTTTCTACATTTTTTATTTTTTGATTTTGTTTTTAAATTTATATAGTTTCTAATTTGAAAATATTTTTTTTATTTGCAATTTCTGTAATTTTTATATTTTCTGTAATTTCTATGTTTTTATGTATTATGTATTTTATATTTGAAAATATTTTTTTGAACTTTTTCCATTTTTCATGTCTAAATATAAAAATGGTAATATATTAACACCTGTTAATTTATTTTGTATATATCTTATATTTTTCTATGAAGGTTAAAATGGTAATATATTAATGCCCATTAGTTTGTTTAATGCCAATTTAGTGACATGGTGAGTTTTAGACATTTTGAAAAGTTGTGGTTAATTTAAGAGAAATGTTGAAAACTCATGGTGAATTTTAGACAATTTCCCTTATTATCATCATTATTATTATTATTATTATTATTATTATTATTATTATTATTATTATTATTATTATTATTATTATTATTATTATTATTATTATTACATCAATGTATAGATTTAAAAAGGAATAAGAGGGGGTTTGATCATTTCTACTCTTTGAGTAAAAATGAATTTGAAAAGAAAATAGAGGGGAAAATGGTAATGATTGAATTGAGGAGACTTTACCTAAAAAAAGAAAAATGGGGAGAGATTGGGATGGTTTATTCAATTTGGAAATTGAAGTGGAGAATAACAACAATGTTTGGGTTGTGAAAAAAGAAGGTGAGACAAGGATAGAAAAGCAACGAGATTTGCTCTTTTTTGTAAGTTCCAAAAATAGGTATGGCCATATATTTGACTACTTCAGTGGGTCTGCTAATGCTTGACGGCTTGTTCTGTTCAGTGTTCTTCCCTAGTCGGCCCAGAAATCCTGCATCTTCCGTATCTAGTTCATAGTCCGAAAGGGCCCACATGTTTATAATCTTGTGGACCTGACCTCTATTCGTAAGATAAGTTTCACTCCCTTAGAATTTGCCACGTGTACTTTCTCAAATATTTTTATATTAAATATTAGGGATATTATCTAAAATTCACTATATATATATTTTTTACATTTTTCTTAAATTCATCATAACTCTTTTCAAAACCTCCAAAGAGCGCCATGTGAATGAGTATTATTGTTCAAAACTCACATTCCGTTCAGCTTTCTGATACATCATTGTTAGTGACCATTAATAGAAATTGTTTATGTAAGCATTTGAGTATTTTACCAAATTACCTCTGATGGCCAATCAAACATAATTATATATCCTGAGACTTAGGCCCAGGCCCACACTAAGCGTACAAATTTTAGAGTCAGGCCTAAATCTAATATTTCAAGCCATAATATATATAAATAGATAGATTGATGAATAGATAGATATTGCTTACACGCTTCCAAAAGTGTCGTTATATTAAGTAGCAAGTTTAATCCACTAAGTAAGACCAAAACACCCATCACACATGATTAATACAAATAACAGACGCCCATTTCGCTTGTCCCTGAGGCAAGGCTTGCTAACTAAAGAAGATCAATCTACCTTTACTATTCCGAAAATTCAATGTGCCCCATATATACTATTGGAGGTTTTTCACATAACCGCCTTAACTATATTTGTACCAGCTGATTCTCCATCCAACCCTGCTCTTTTTTGGTAGTATTATGGTTATGTTTGATTTATGTGCATAAGGTGTTGGGAAATTGAAAGTAATTTTATGGTGTTATTTTTTTTTGAAGGTTTTAATCATGTTTCATTCATTCAAGAGATTGGTATAAAGAGATGCCAACCAGGCTAAATAAAGACTAAGGATACATTCTCAAGAAGAACAAAACAAATAGATGGAATTTAGGAGAATCGGAACAACTTCTGCAACCAAACCACCATAACTGACGAGCAAAGTGAGTTAACTTCACCAACAAAAGTGGATAAGAACATCTCCAAACCACCATAACAGGCAAGTAAACTGACAATAGGAGTTACTAACCAAACCGAAAACTGATAGAGGAGGTTAAATAGCCACAAGCCAAGAACTGTAACTTCCAACTATGCCAAAAAACTGCAGAAGACGCATCATTTGTAACTGCCATTCAGTACACCGAAGAACTGCCAACTGCAAATTGTCTTCCAAAGAATGCCGGAGAACTGTAACGTCCAACCACAATGCCGGAGAACAGAATATCCATACACAACGCCGGAAAACTGTAACTGCCATCCGGAAAGCCAGATAACTGAAACTACCAACTAGGACGTCGGAGCACATCATAGCCATCTATGACGTTGGAGAAACTATCGTTTGAGCACTATCTCGGCCATCTAGTACTATCTCGGTCAACTAGGACGTCAGAATGCTTGTATAAAGAAAACTAATAAAGAAAAGCAAAGAAGATGAGAGAAACAGAGAAAGAAAGGGATGATCCTCGAAAATAATAAGGGGTGGCAACAATAGTGTACATGCATGTGAGGTCCATTAAGCTTACAAGGTAGACTCCATGCAATTATGTTGGTTTGATCCCTTGCCTCTATGCTAGAAGGTAGGGGTGTCTACGGTTTGGTTAATTGAACCATGAGCATATTTTGCAAATCGAACCAATGGTACCGGTTTTTTCATTTTTCCAAATCGAAACCAAACCTGTACCACCGGTTAATCGGTATGCCGGTTTTGATTTTTGATCGGTTTGGTTCTTCTGCTTTTCGATTTTTTATGTTTATAATATATATTATATAAATATATTTATAATATATATTATATAAATATATGTATAATATTATATTATAAATAATAAAGGATATACATATTTATATATAATATATAGAAAATATGTGACATATATTAAAAATATATATAAAATATACATATAAATATATACTGGTCGGTTCGGTTAACCGCCTATTTTTTTGTAGATTAATTAAAAACCGAACTAATTTTTTAATTTTTCAAAAATTTCAAACCAAAACCAAACTGGTCTATTCGATTAACCGCATTTTACAATTAAGTTTTCTCATTTCAATTCCATTTTTCATGGACACCCCGACTGAAAGGGACATCAAGTGACCATCTTAGCTATTGGGTCAATGGCGAATTATCACAAGCTAAACAAATAAAAACTTCCATTAGCATTCTGTTAATGCCCTTATGTGTATCATATGATAGCATTTTTAAATGCCTAAATTATCATTTTGGACAATTTTGCCCTTGAAATATTCGTTTTCATATTTATAGCGCATGGTAACTAAACCCAGTCCATCAAAACTATCTATCATATTCAAGAAAAAAATTTACCCAAAAGGGGTAATTTAGATATTTAGAAATGTTTGATGCATTACTTGAGATGAATAAGGGTAATTTCCCTCAATTTTCCATTTTACCGATGGAATGCTAAGAAACACAAAATGAAATTTAGGCAGTTAAAATAAAAACACCCCAATGACCCCATTGTATGAGGGGGTATATGGAGTCTCTCTCTCTCTCTAAACTCTAAAGTTGCATTTAATGTTAATTAATTTCTTAGTCTAATAGAGAATGATGGATGTTGTCCTCCACAAATGGCTTAGAATGATTGAGTGTGACCTTGGGTATCTTGGGACAACCCAAGATCAAATAAAGTCATCCCAATTTCAACTTTAGACGATTTGAAAAAAGCAGAGAAAAAGCACTTAAAATGGGCCATTCCAGCCACTGATCCACCAATCAATCTCACAGGTGGAAATGGAATAGATTGCGTGTAGGAGACTTTGAATGGTGCTCATCACCTCAATGGATTGACCATAGAGTCACCATCCAAGGAAAGCTGAGCCACTAAAAGACAACCCTTTCAGATAACAATAAGTAGTGTCCTTTTGCTTGAATTAGCAAAACAAACGTTTGTAGTCTCTAACTCATTCCTATCCTACATAATCCATTTAGCAAGTTGAGTTGGTTCAATGATGGGTGGGTCGGGTCAATAAAGGGCCAACACCAACCCATCAAATACGGGATAAAGCCATAAGATGCAGCTGCCAACCTCCTCCTGAGGACCTGAGCCAATCTGGGGCCGAATTTCAATCTTCTAATCAAATTAAACCCCAACTAACATCTGGGGTTATCATTATTCATTCATTTGTGGACTGTGGACTGTGGACTGTAGACTCCATCATTCATTTATCAATCTGTTACTAATTCTAGTGTAGAAACTGGAAAGAAAAGTGGATCGTTCCTCGTCGAGTACCAGTCAAGATTTGCCACATTATTCTGCTTTCTTTTGCCAACTGCCAACCACTATTTTTCTTTACTTGCTGGGCTCTCACAAAGGGAGAGAGAGAGAGATGGACTAAACGACGCAAAATACCAAAGACGACTCCTCAAACAAGAAACTACGAAACAGAAACCAAAAGACTCACACTGGTAACGCAACCAAGCTGCAGTTGCGGTAAGGTAAAAGCCTCTTTTTTACATGGCATTTCCCTCACGCAAGCGAAGCTGCCAGTTATGAAACAAAATTACAACAACGCACGCACAGGGAGAGAGAGAGAGAGAGAGAGAGATGGGTCTGTTGTCTCATGTCTGTCTGCTTCTCTTCTCGTTTCAGGTTTCAACTTTCAAAGCCCCCCTGACCCCGCATGAACGTAAAGCCAACTCATCAACCCTTTTAAATTTTCAACTCTATAAAAAAAAGAATCTAATCTGTTGTTTTTAATTGTTTTATTTTCATTAAACTATTTCATATTTATATCTCTGTGGCTCTCTCTCTTCTGCAAATCTGACATTCACACTACACGGTACCCCATAAAGTGGAAAAGAGAGAGAGAGGCGGGAAGGGAAGAAAAGAGGAGTGTGGGGAGACAAGAAGAGATAAAAACCCAGCAACCTCTCTCATCTCTCATGCTTCGAACTAGAAGAACTGAAGAAGAGCCCCACATTTCAAGCCTTTCTCACTTCTTTCTCTGTTTCTGCCTTTGTTTTTCTGCTGTTATCTCTCTGTCGATCTCTTTCATGGCTGCAAACAACAGCACCAGGGCCGCCTCCGCTTCAGGGCCGGACCCAGTTTCGAGCCACACGACCTTTGTTCAAGCGGACCCATCAACCTTCCGAGCCGTCGTTCAGAAGCTAACAGGTGCAACTGACGACCCATCAATGGAAAAGCTCCCTGTAACTGTTCCGGCGCGTCAGGCAACCAAAAGCTCGGTGGGCGAGATGGGTCCCCGTAAGACGACGTTTAAGCTTCACGAGAGGAGACAGAGCATGAGAAAACTCGAGATCAAGCTTGGCGGCATCGCTGCTCGACAGGTGCTCGTCTCTCCCGTTTCGCCTCTCGATTTGTTCTCTCGGGGAAGCCCCAGGACGCCACGGTCGCCATTGGAGGAGGAAGAGAGAGCCATTGCAGAGAAGGGTTTCTATTTGCACCCATCGCCTCTTAATACACCCAGAATTGCTGAACCAGAGCTACTGCCATTGTTTCCTTTGCATTCACCAAGAGAATCTAGTTCTTCTTGAATTTCTACTTTCTATCCATTAAAAATGATATAATTACAGTAGTTTCATAGTTTGTTTATGGAGCTTCCAATCCATTTTCTGCGCCTTTCATTTCACTGCTTTAATTTTGTTTTTTTTTTTTTTAACTCTCCATCGACCATCGTCGCTCTGTGTTAACATTCTAATCCTCCCGACGCCGTTGGATTCGCTGACTGTGGCGTCACTAAGAATCTTCTGAACCATTCATGTGGCAAGCATCAATCTGCACATCCATCATGTGCAGACCAGTACTTGAACCGTCTCTATCTCAGATGGTGTCTCATTGATTGACTGATTAGACAGATCCAACCGTTGGAGTAAATGTCAAAAGCTTCAACGGCTGAAATAACAGTATATGCTTTGGATGGTTCAGATCTCCTGGTTTGTGCGATAATGGATTTTTTGATTTTGCGTTTCACTTATCCGAGCGGCACGTGTCAAACGAGGGACAGAGAAAAACAAAAGAGTCTTCGGAGTGTTGAAATGAGGTGGACGTTGACTTTGGTAATTTCGGTTTTTGTCTTTTCTTGGGAAAAAAAGTTAAAAGCTGGGGGCATTTATTGTCTCACACGTTTCGTGTGAACATTTTATTTATTTAATTTACTGGACGGCCGTCTGGAGCATTTCCCTAGGTGGGAAAAAACATATATTAAGAGGCAAAAAAAACTCCAAAAGGAACCATCAGTTCTTAGCTGCTTTTAAGGTCCAGTCGTCCAGGCTCGTAGTCTAGACGGATGGCTAGGGACTAGGCCAACTGGCTATCATTTTCTACTCTCAAATGATTCCCAACAGGGCTATAGGCAGTCGGTGTCTGGTACAGGTGTATACGGCCAATTTACAGTCTGTAAAATATCTTCCACCGTCAATTTGGAATCTAGCTATTGTCATACTTCCCATCTGATACCAATCCATTGGCGAAGAGTTTATCTGATTCGGTGGTATCCCGTGATTGAAGGATTTGGGGCCCAACCCAATGTTTTGTTTACATGACGAGGCTAAATGGGCTCAGACCACAACAAGAATTCTTGCCAAGTCATTTGGGAATTGGGCCAATAAATAAACTTACAATATGGTCTAACATTGGGACCACTGTTTTTTTTTTTTATTTTTTTTTTCTTCTTTCCCCAAATTTTGGAAAGTTTAGAAAAAGGACAAAAGCCCACGACTTTCCCCCAATTTTGGATAAGTGCTAAGTAGGGCATTTCACTTTTATACTCAAAAAATATTTTTAAATGACAAAAATGACACTTGCCGATTTGATAATTGGCATCATCTCAATTAATTTTCAAGGGACAAAAAAAAAAAACCCTAATATAAGTTAATTAGCCCATTAAAACTCCCTTTCCCCCTTCCTCACTGTGATTTTTTTTTATTCAAATAATGAAGCAAATTGATCTGGTTGCTTATAAATGAAGGGTAGTAAACAATGGATGATGATTAAAGTAATAATTTTGTCATTTGATGAGTGCTTGAGGGTATCTAAAAGCCTGGGAGTGAAGTCAATGGAGGTTTGATGTATTTTTCCTAAAAACTGTATTGCAGTTTTATTATGACTAATGGCAATGTAATCTGCTTAGCCGAATGGCCCTTATTTTAAATAAGAAATATTAATCAGGGGATCCTGAAGGGAGCCGCCCCCAACGAAATGCCTTTGAGAGTGCCTCTAGTGAATTCCGACAATCCCTCCCGGGCTGGCTGGCTGACCTTTTCAACGGCTTTCTTCCATTCCGGCAGCCTCTAATGCCCGCCATCGCGATCTCCGCAATATTGATTTCTCATGTACGACCAACCCCTCTTCCCTATAAAGTRTCGGATGCAAATCCAACAGAACGCTAGCATTCCATTCGAGTCCTTATGGTTCATTTGTGTTACAAATTGAAGGAATTAAAATAGCTAAAGTAATAAAAAACAATTTATGCATTCTTAATTTTAACAATGCAAGCGATGGGGCCCAGTATTTCAATGTTTGGCATTGGCAATCAAACCTAATATTTATACTATTATAAAGCAATGCATGCATAGTTGGTACATGCCATAAAAGTTATATTCGATCTACAATGTCAATTTATATCTTTACCACATGTGGTGGGTAGCAGTGTCGATTGTACTGAATTTGGTCCGATGTGAGTCCATTTATAAGGTTCAATCCAACCCAATTCAATGAATATTTTAAACTGGTCTAATTCAATGTCTGAACCATCCAGTCTGTTTAAATTCATTTTAATTTAAATTGATTCCAATCTGAACCTAACCTGGTCCATTGACACCTAAATACTTATCTTTTATTGATGGACCAGATATCAACTTAATCCATCTCAATCTAATATAAACTCATTATGGATGGACCAGGTCCAATCCAATAAACACTTTGGACCATTAAGTCTAGACTAGTCTAATTCAATATGTCTTATTGGTCCGTCCAATCCGTTCAAATTAATTTTGGTCCAACCCAAAACGAGTCCATTGACACCCCAACAGGTGTGCTGTGTGAGGAGCCAATGCAAATTCCTAAAGACTGCATTTGGCAACGATGCAAATATGTAGAGTGTAAAATGTTCATATAAATTACAAAGTTGGGTTGATTTTGCATTGACAAATTTACGTTTTTACCAAACAGACTTAACTGTAATGTATGCAAACATGAATTTTAATAAAGCATATACTTTTTTTTTTATCAAAAGACCACTTGAATGCAAATTTACTTCTTTTTATTGATGTACTTCTACATCTTATTATCAATGTAAATATGCATTGATCTGTCATTTATCAATGCATAAATATAATGTTGCCAAACACAAGCAAAAATAAACCATAGTGCAAATTTACCCTGAACCAGAATTTACACTCCTGATCTAGGTTGTTGAACCATCAACTTAAACAATGGTTTTTGACCATTTTTGTTGTTTGTTTTTTTATTTTTTTGTCAAAATGAGCCATCTGTTTGGACTGAACAGTCGGAGTGTTCAACCCGGGAACCAGACCCAGAACGGTTCCTTGTTGAGTCCGGTTTTAAAACCTTAATTTTGAGTATAGGCATATTAAATTGTTCTTCTTTGTAAATGAACTATTAATTTCACATCAGCCCAACTTCTCTCTCTTTGGAATTTTGTCATTTTTCTTATTGTTGGATAAAAATTGTAAAAATGTCACTGTAAATAGGTTTTTCAATGGATCGGGTCCAATTTGGGAAAGGGTGTACCAGTTTTGAACCGATTATTATTCAGTTGCATGATAGATCCAGAACCGTCCCAATTATAAATTCGGACAGTCGGGTCTGACCCGATTAGACCTGATGGTTATACTTGAGATCTGTATTTACCTATGACATTAACAACTTAAAACTTTATTTTTGATAATAAAATCTTTACAAGAATTGTTTATATGTTGACAAACAAGTATTTTTAACCAAAATTATCTTATTTACTATTCATGAAATTTACCTTTCGGACATAAAATATAACAAAAGTTACAATAAAATGAGAAGGCATTTATATATTATTAACTATATAATCCATTTGGAACAACAAAAACTGGTCTAATGGGGGCAAAACTGTATAACCACAACTAATATAATTGGTTCAGTTTGCTGGGTAGACCGCCCAGACCCATCGATAGCCTTAACTATAAAGCAATAATTGGGACTATCAACTATGTCCTATCACTAACTTGAGTGTCAGTGTGCTCCTTCCAAAGGAATCACCTCAGGGTCTCTGACTGTTCTTGCTTGAAGGTCTAAGGATGCAATTCAGCTTGTCCAACTCATCAGTATTCATCTGCATTTCGATCACCTCAGCTCGGACAGCATCAGTTGCATCAATGCTTCTCTCAAAACAGAATCAGTGGAAGTATTTGCACTCAATCGAAACCTACATCCTTTTACAATTTCCTATCTCGTCATTCTCCATTCTTCCACTCTATCTACACACAACTTGCACAAAAACAGTTCTTCTAGTTGATTTAGTCATTTAGATTCTGGTATTTAGTGAACATCTGCAGACTATCTCAATTGATTTTTCTTTTTCATCATCTGTTGGGCTGCTTTTGATTTTATACAGCTGTATGCTTTAACTTTTTCCTTGTTTTGTGAATCATCAATCCAGCGAAAATTGTACATTCTTAACAACTCTCTATTACATATTTTACATATATTATAAGATTACAAGACATAAGATGACTCTTGAATAACAGGTTGAATGGTAAGGAATATCAAAATAGAATAATTGATTCCATGGAATGCTGCCAAACAATCCATGATCAATCAAGGAACAACCATAGAATAGAAATGAAACACATTGAACAACAGAAACAAGATTTACTTTGAAGAATTGGGATATACAGTTGATTGTCTCTGTAAATCCTGACAAAACCAACTAACTTTTCAGTTCTAAACTAGACTGGTCCAATTATAAACAACCATATATTATCCCATTGATCAAGACCCATGTTCTTTTTTCAGATTTATGTGGGGATCAGGGAAGGTTTATTTTCTTGGGTATCATTTTCCCAGATAAATCAACTTTTCCATTTAGGTAAAAGTTGCCAACACTTGGATGGGACAAAAATGCCCCTTTTGATAATGGAATTTTTATATCTAAAATGGTCATTATTTTATTTACCCAGGAAATAAAAGAGTATGGGTAAATACTTTACCAGGTAAGTAACTTACCGAAAAAGCGAACGGAGCCTTAAGAGGAAAAGGAGAAGAGGCTAGGGGTGTCAATGGACCGGTTTTGGGTTGGACTCCTTCCAAATCAAAATCAATTTGGACAGATTGGATGGACTAATAAGACATTGAATTGGACCAGTCCAGACTTAATGGTCCAAAGTATTTATTGGATTGGATTGGACCTAGTCCATCCATAATGAATTTATATTGGATTGGGTTGGATTGAGCCAATATTTGGTCCATAAGATAAGAATACAGGTGTCAATGGACCTGGTCAATAGTCCAAAATATTCATTGGACTGGATTGGATGACCAGGTCCATTTGTAATGTAATCACATTGGACTGGATCGAATTGAACCAAATCCAGTCCAATTGACACCCCTAAGAGGGACAGCGACAGAAGTGAAGATACAATCATCAAATATTTACTTCAAATGCCTCAAGTTTTATCAATAATTTTTATCTCAGAGATTTGACAAGTTACTTTATATCAGTTTAAGAACTTATCTCCACATTTTTCTGAGCCAGGACAAAGTTAAATAAAATGATAGATATTTCCATTGCCAGCAAAACAGAACATAAACTTAAATAGTAGAACATCATTTCGAATATCCTAAGACTGTCATAGGGATAAATAAAAAGAAAAAAGCCAAACAGAACAAAAATCATTACAAATAGAAACAGAATAAAGATCTCATAATAAGTAGGCTAGAAGCTCAGTAATATGTCCTCAGCATGTGAAAATCTCATCTGTCAATGAACAGTCCAGCAGACCCTGTTGGAAAGGTATGCTGCAAGCTTGATTGGCCAAGGTGCTCACTACAGTCACAAACATGTGGTGGAAGATTTATACAACACAGACTGTGGTTCATCTGTGTCTCTGTCGCTGGGTGGAAATTTCAAGAAAATATTTCCTCACTTTTTGTAGTTCATTAAGTGCATCTGTTATATTCATTCGTTGCTTGGGTAACTCCATGGAACAGGCCACTCCAACTCTGATTATTGAGACCACACACTCTTGCATTCTCTCTCTCTTGCATCTCTCACTTTCAATGTTGTTGGCAACTTCTTCAACTTCGGCTCTTTCTCCAGAGAAAAGCATTGGATCTATAATCTCCATTGCTCTTTCAGGCAAAGCCATCTTAGCCAAGGAATGAAGATTCAAGTCACCTCTAAACATTTCGTCAGTAGGTCTCTTTCCTATAAACATCTCTAACAAGAGAATCCCATAGCTGTACACATCTCCTTGGGTTGACACTTCAGCCCCCATTCCATACTCTGTAATTCATGCATTTCTTATTAATTTTTCTCTTTGAAAATTGTAAGAGAGAGAGAGAGAGAGAGGGAATGTGAAATTCTGGTTAGATTAAGTACCTGGTGCAGAGTATCCAATAGTTCCCTTTATTCCAACTGAGCTAGCTTGACTTGAAGAAGATCTACTGCCAGCCTCTAATAAAAACCTTGACAAGCCAAAGTCACCCACATGTGCAGTCAAGTTTTCATCAAGAAGAACGTTGCTTGGCTTTAGATCACAATGAATGATTGGTATTTCACAATGGTGATGAATATAATCAAGTGCAGATGCTACATCAATTGCAATGTTTAGTCTCTGAAGAATGCTTAGATGCTTCCTTGGTTCAACTTGTGCACAATCTTCTTTTGGATGCAACCAATCCTCTAAACTCCCATTAGACATGAATTCATAAACTAGAGCTTTGAAATCGTTACCTTGAAAATCTATGCTTGAGCAGGAAGTTATGACCTTCAAAAGATTCCGGTGCCGGATGTTTCTCAACGATTCACATTCAGCCATGAAGCTCCGGGAAGCTCCTCGCTGTTGAAGGTTCAGTACTTTGACTGCAACACATGTTTCGCCTTGGTCCAGACTTCCTTTGTATACAGAGCCAAAACTACCCGTACCAAGCAAGTTAGCTGAACAGAATCCTTCAGTTGCTTTCATGAGTGCTTCATAAGAGATCATCAAATGACGATGCAGAATTGAAGATGCAGAAGAAGGTTCTTCTTTTCTTTGCATTCTTCTCCAGTACAGAATAACAAAAGCCATGACAGAAGAAATGCATACAAAAGCACCACTACTACAGGCGGCAATTATTAGCCTCTTATGACGAGACACTGATTTTTCCTTCAACTCCTTAGTGGGACATGGCGACAATTGCAACCGAGGAATACCCCCACAGAGCTTACTGTTCCCTGCAACAAAAGCAATGCTAGCATTTTGAAAAACTCCATCTGTTGGTACCTCACCTTCGAGGTTGTTGAAGGAAAGATTCAAACTCTGTAATGAGCGGAATTGCTGAAAATATTGTGGAATTGGGCCAGAAAGGTTATTCTGCGAAAGATCCACGTTTATAAGACCTCTTAAGGAACTCAAAGATGAAGGAATTGAGCCATTGAACAAGTTTCCCTTTAAAACAAGGTTTTCCAGGCTCGCACAACTACCAAGACTAGACGGAATTCCGCCAGACAACTTGTTCTCTGAAACATCTAATTGTTCAAGATTTCTCAACTGACCTACTTCCTGAGGTAGGGAACCTACTAAATGATTTTGGGCTAGATCAAGAGCCAAAGTAAGGGAGGAGATACCAAAGATTTCTCTTGGTATGACACCACTAAGACTATTACCAGAAAGTTGCAACAGAAACAACTTACTGCAATTTCCAAGGGATGGAGGTATGCTACCTGTTAAATTGTTCACTTGTAAACGAAGTGTACTCAAAGAAGTTAAGTTTCCCAAAGATGAAGGGATCCGTCCTGCTAATCTATTTATAGCTAATGTTAGATCATACAGCTTTTGAAGCTTCCCCATGGAAGTAGGAATAGTTCCTGTCAATTCATTTATCTCTAATCCCAGAACATTCAAGTTCACGAGGTTCTCAATCCCTGATGGGATGCTTCCAGATATGAAATTTCTTCCCAGAGTTAACGTTGTAAGTTGGGTCGAGAGGTTAGCCACAGACTTTGGCAACATGCCTCCAAGACGATTTTCTTCAAAACCCAACACCTGTAAATTGCTGCAGTTGGTCATGGTATTAATAAAATTCAAGTCATCCATTTCCATATTTCCTAGATGATTACTACCCATACTCAACCACCAGAGATGGGGTAGGCCCTTGAAATCAACTGAAACTTTACCACTGAATTCATTAATCTTGGTGGCTAAAATCTCAAGTTTCGAAGCGTTTGATAATGAAACTGGAATCGTTCCAGTGAAGTGGTTCTGTGCGACGATGAAGCGCTGGATATTAGGAAGAGTGAAGCCTAGGTCAGGTGGAAGAGTCCCCTCCAACTGATTAGCACCCACATCAAAAACAGTGAGGGATGAGAGATTGTATAAGTTGCTAGGAACCATACCAGATAGTTTATTTCCACCCAATCCAAGAGTTGTCAACTTTGTTAAGCGGTCTAGATTAGGAATGCTTCCCTCCAACATATTGTATGCTGCAGAGAGACGGAGAAGGGATGAAAGATTCCCAAAAGAATGTGGTATCTCTCCTGCTAGGTTGTTACCGTGTATTGTGAGGGCTTCTAGCTTCAACAGAGAGCCGAGTTCTGCTGGAATTTTGCCTGTTAGTCTATTTCCAGCTAAAACAATGTCTGTGAGGTTGGAACAGTGAGACAGATTGGCAGGAATCTCCCCTTCCAATGAATTATTGCGGAAATTTATTACCTCTAGCTTGAGCAAACGGCCGATTTGTCGAGGGATTTCACCATGGAAACTATTGTTTAGCAGCCATAACTCCCCAAGCAAGCTAAGGTTTCCTATTTCCGGCGGTATAGTTCCGACCAATCCCTTTGACTCCAGAGCCAACGATATGACCCTCCTGGGCTGTCGCCGAGCACATGTAACGCCTTCCCATTTGCAGTGGTGGTGAGAATTATTCCACGACGACATGACCCCTAGAGGATCCTGTGTTATTCGACTCTTGAAGGCTAGCAAGGCCAGCAGGTCTGTTTCATTTCCACCGAGACCGGTGCCGGTACCGGCAGCGGCAGCGGCAACGGAAACGGTGGCTGTGGTGACATCTCCGGGACGCAATACCGTATTCATGCACAGACATGAGAGAAGAACAACTGCACGAACTGTATCACAGACATTAACGAATGTATCACAGACACAGAGAGAACGTCTAAGAATGGTTGCCCCATCGCAAGTTGTTTAGTGGGGTTGAGGATTTCTTTCTTTTCAAAGTCTCGATGGGTCTGGATTTAAGTTACGGAGAGAGATTTATCAGAAAAAAAAAAATTTGCTAAAAACCATAATCTCGTTGCAGATCGATGACAAAGCTACTGCAACTGAATTCACGTCTGCGCCCCAAGGGTGCCCCACTGCATATCTCAACCGTGTATTAGGAACATCTCCCGATCCCAATACACACTGAGATGTGCATGTGGGGCGTTTGTGGGGCGCAGATGTGGTCAATTGGGTGGGGACTTCTGTTACATCAGTCAATGTGTTTAGAAGTCAAAATCCGAAAGCTTGACTCTTCATTGCCAATGAGGAAAGGATAAATTCAACGTGTTTAGAAGTCAAAATCCGAAAGCTTGACTCTTCATTGCCACTGAGGAAAGGATAAATTCAAACGCGAATTATTTTGCATCCCAGATGTGAATGGGTCGGTTCTGCCAGCCCGATTACCCTCAACAAACCGAGCCAATTAATTCCATCATTTTGTTCCGATTAGTAATTGGGTCTGTTTGGATTCAAATCTGAATGATTATTTTTTATTATATATAAGGTATTTTTAATTTTCTTATCATTTTATCATGTTTTATGTTTAAATGGTAAATTCAATATATGATATATAAGATAATATTAGTTAAAAATATTTATTTTATTAAACAATGCTATACTATCAAAATTTAAGTTTTAAATTATTATTTAAATAAATAAGTATAGTTTTCAATATAAAAAGTTTATCGGATCAGACCTGATTATTAATGGTGACAGTTTTGGGCCGACCCGACCTGTTGGATCTTCTCTTAACAAAAAACCGTTTTAATACATTCTAACATTCTTTGTGTTCACACATCTCATCCATAATAGCCTAAGTGCAGAGAGAGAGAGAGAGAGAGAGAGAGAGTTCTCTGGGCTATTTTTTCTATGCATGCCTGACTTTCTTTAACATCTCTTCTTTATTTTTGAGACGTATTCACAAGGCACAAAAGAGATGTATAAGGGCTTCGAAAAGAAAATGGAGAGGTATAATAATTCATCCAATTAACAAAAAAAAAAAAAAATTAAAGAATGGGGGTACAATATTTCAGATGGCCAATTTGTTATCATCAAGGTTTTAAAAATCGGATCAGATATAGAACTGTTTTGGCCATTGGTTCCCAGGTCAAATAATATGTTCATCCAGTTTAAATGAATGGCCTGTTCTGATTAAAAAAAAAAATTTAAAGGTAATTAAAATAAAAAAACAGCCAAAAATCATTTTTCAAGTCAACAAATCAACTGTTCGATCGCTTGAATCAGTGGATCGCTGACCAAGTTAATAATTTTTGGACCAGGAATGATTTTAGGGTGAAATAAAACTAATCATTTAACAGGTCCTTAGGTCAACTGGTCCGACCATCCGATTAGATCCAATTTTCAAAACCATGATTACTATAAAAAAATAAAAACTCAAATGGTCCATCATTTGATGCGAGCTGAGGTCATGATTCATGAAGTGGCATCTAAATTTTCTAGGCGCAGAATGATCCTACAACACATTCCATCCTACATTATGAACATCTCCCCATCAATGATGTTTCCGATGCGCGATTGTAATGTGGTGTGAGATTGATGTGAAGAGCACTTAACGAGGAGCAGACCCATGTCAGGGTTATGTGGCAAGACTGGATATGCTCTCATGAAGAGAACGCTCCTCACACCATCTGCATAGTATATTATAGTCACACATGGTAAACATCTCCCATGGTTCTATATTGTCATTCATTGGGAGATGTTCCCAATACGCAACTGCAATGTTTCATGCATTGGTGTGAGGAGCAGATCCAATTTCTTGAGTGTGTGCGACTCAAAATTCACACCACATCTACTTAAAATTTTCCACTACCAAGTTGGGGTTGCATTATTGGTGCTTGGTACGCTATCTTGGAACTTTTCAGTTGCCTGGGGTTGCGTTTGTGCTTGGTACACACCAACTGACTTTGAATTTTCCACTAGACACTACCAAATTGGATTTGTTTTCGTTCACACACATTACATCGTCTTAGAATTTTCCACAAGACACATTTACGTTAGACACCCCTTATATGGTTTTATATATTCATTAAAACCCATTCGTTAAGTTATATTTACTAAGGTTTTAAAAACCAATCCGAAACAGAACCACTCTGATCACTGGTTTCCAGGTCAATGTTTTGATCATCTGGGTTGAGTGGTTCAAACAATTTGATATGCTTAACCTTAGATTGAAATATTAGGGTAAAAATATTTTGTGAAAAAAGAGAGAGGTAGGTGGTTGTTGGATGGGAGAGGGAAAGAAAAGAAAAGAAACGAAAGGAAGGAAGAAAAGAAATGAAAAAAAAAGGAAGAAAAGAGGAGGAGGAGGCAATCCTCACCGGCAATGATGATGGCAGCAGCAGTGGTGGCGACAAATAGTAGCGGCAATGTTTCTCCCCTAACCCTTTCTGTTCTCTTTCTCTCCCTCACACATACACACACATGTTAGTGAACTCAGGTCTAAGATCTCGTCTCATTTCATCCCCCATTTCTATACCACTTTTTTTTTCTCTGTTAATGATCCTTGAAATAAAAATTAAATATTTTATTAAACCACGAACCGCTGCCCGGGTCAAATGGTTTAGCGGTTCAACCACCCAAGTCGATAGTTATTTAACCATTTCAATGATTCTTTACAAAATAATGGTTTAAGGCAAAAGCATAACCAATGACCTGCCCGGTTCCCATTTCCTTGATCTCGTGGGGATCCGTCTTGAATGGGGCGAGGATGGAGATGATTTTCTCCCCGTGGGGACGGGGATGGGAAAAAAAATTTTCCCTGTTAACAAGGATGGGGCGAGGACAGGGAGAGCACTCCCCACCCCGTAGGGACCCCAATCCCCGCCCCGTGGGATCCCCACTAATATATATGTATATATGTATGCATATGTTATATATGTATATATGTACACATACATTTATATATTAATATTTTTAAAAATATGGTTGAATATGTTTGAATCTTTTCTAATAGGATTGTAAATTTTAATTATTTTATTTTTATATTTTTAAATAAAATAAAAAACAAAAACAAAATGGTCATCATTATAAAAAATCACGGGAAATGGGGATCCCCGTGGAGACGGGGATGGGGATAACCTTCATGGTGTTTGGAAGCATGGGCACTTTTTGGGACCAATTTTCAAGAAAAAACGCTCATGCTTCCAAGACCCGTTTTTCATAAAAAAACACTTCTGCCATGTAGGCAGTGAGCACACTATGCTGTTTGGTAAGGTGATTTTCATCACCGTTTTTCATGTATGTGCTGACAGTTAAGCACCACATAGGATACTCGTCAATCAACCGTTGGGGGAAACGGTTCACCGATACATGAAACGCCAAATTTGCCGTTTCATGAATTGGTGAAATCCCGATTTTTGAGGAATGCCCGATTTTTTAATAATCGGCTGAACCAAACAATGAGATACATGGGCGTTTGTTGAAACGCCTATGTGGATCCAACATGGCATCATTTTTTTTGAAAAGCGACCATCCCTGTTAGTGGAGACGAAGACGGAGACACGTATGGGGATTTTCGCGGGAATGGGGATGAGAAAGGCTCCCCATCCATGCCCTGCCGCGTTGCCATTCCTAGTAAAATATGTGAAGGGCATGAGCCCATGATCTTTTTTTTTTTTTTTATTTCAAAAGCACTTCTAGCGGCTTTCAACCTTTTAGATTATATTTAATAAATATATGTGGTGACCACTGACCAGACCCATGCGGTAGGGCCTGAGAGGAAGCCATCACTCATTTTTGTGCAAAAAATTAGGAAAGAAAAAGAAAGGGTGGAGAAAGGAATGAAGGAATGAATGGATTTTGGAAAATATTTTAATTAATCTTTAAAAATAAATGTTTTAGTATAAAACCAACAAGATGACTCCAAGTTATCGATTTCTAACCAGTTTGGTAAGGGATTAGGTTATGAGTATTGCATGGAGTCGAAATTCCAGTCTTTTTCATTCTTACATTCTTTCGAAATTAAAATAATTAGTATGGCCGCCTTTAAAGTAAATTAATGGTTCCTTAGTCTCGGAGCAGTTAATGGGGAGGGACATTTCCCTCATAGACCCCAAAAGCAGTCTTCCTAGTTCTACATGCCTAGGTCCAAATAATGTTTAAAGTATACGTATTATTCTGGGACCCCCCTAATATGTTATTATAGTGGGTGTATTAGGGTTCTGACCGGTTCAGGGGGTGGAGGAGTCTTAAATCGACTTTCCTGAACTAGTTTTAAAAAAAAATAAAAAAAGATATTGATATCTCACGATACGTCCCTACCGACGTATCGGGTATATCATTATTTTGAACCTTGGGTCCAAGTACTATATAATGTGCAAGGCAATTATAACATTACATACTACATGGTGCATGAACTATTTATACATATATGGATAAAACATAAAAGAGACAAGTAGAGAGAAGAATAACCTAGCTAAAACAAGCTTATAAAATAATGCAGGCATGAGCTAATAAAAGGCCTCTACCCCAATTGTTTTAGAAAATTAAAACAAAACTCCACTTAAGGTGTTCTCTTAAATGTGAGAGATATATTGACTAAGAGAACACTTCAAGGAGAATCCTTTAGCAAGAAAACTCCCAAGTGGCTTGCTTATCTCCACGGTGAAAGAGAGAGCTTCTACTCAGGGCCTGTTTGGTTTGCAGGAATAGGGGTCCAGAATTGGAATTCATTCATATTCCAACTCTTTGGCTGGGTGGAATTGGAATCCCATTTCCATTCCTGGTCAAGTGGTATTTCCCATTTTAGGGAATGGTCATTTCTAATTATTTGATTAAGACATGTAAAAAAATACATAAACTATCAATTATCCTTCACATAAAATTTAAAATATTACTAAATTCAACACCTATTACATAATGTTCATATGCTTAATTTCCAACAACATGCAGGTCAGGTATTGTCG